TATAATAATATTAGCAAATAATGATGTAGCACTGGCTATGTGCCAGACACTGTTCTAAGCACTTTCAGTTTACTTAATCATTTAATAATATATATCATTCATGGTTGTCAGGTTGATTAGCCCTAAGCTGAGTACCTTATTGTTCCTGGCTTATTGTACGCTCAAAGAAAAATTTCCACTTCCAGCAGCACTTGCCCAGGAGATATCAAAATGGAATGCCATGCCTCATCATAGCTGGCTCTGACCTGCTGAAAGCTGATAAATGACCACGAGCCTTCAGTGGCCTGGGGACACCAGACCCTCTCTGGGCCTAACTGAAGACTTTCCTGACCAATAAACGATGGGGCTGTTTTAACCAACCGGGTACAGACCTATGGCCTCCTTTGAAGAGGTCTCAATCCTTAATTAGCATAACCTCCATGAAACCTTGTTCATTACACTTAAAAATTCCTGACTTTTCCCCCTTTGTTAACTTACCCTCTAGTGGTTATTTCCTTGCCTGGCAACTTTTCCCCCAGGCACTGATCATCTGTGTTTTCTCCTTTGATATGTAGGAAGTCAATTAAAAGAAGGCTTTTTAAAAATTAACTTTACATGCTATTTACATATGGGTGTCTCTGTTTGGTAAGGTGAGGGATGGTGTTTGTCGGGTTGGCAATTCCCTTCTCTATGCCTCAGTACCCTGTGACCACCCTCGTGTTGCCAAACAAAAGTAGAACAGTGGTGAACCAGGTTGCTGGGAACTTATAGGGTCTTGGGGGAGCCTATTTAAGGAAAAGACTTTTTTTTTAACTTCAGCGAATTTTTATTTTTGAACAACAAATATTTATTTAAAGTGAGAAAACAGAATCCAACGAATTACAAACTCAAAACAAGTGAGAAATTACAGTCTCCTGGGTGAAATGTGTATGAAGTGTTACCTTTTCATATTATGAGCCTCCAAAGGAGCTTATGTAAGTGCAGGACCCTGAAACTTAAGCTTTATCAGCTTTGTGGTAAATCCCACTCTGATGACCACAGGCAGCTTCCCCACCTCTCAACCCCCCTCCCTCAGGAGTTCAATGCTTCCAGCTTTCTTTCCGCTTCCAGTTAGGAACACAAGGTTTTGTGAATTGGGGTTCGTGAGTTGCTTACGTATGTAGATGAGTCATTGGTTAGAACCTAGCCCTTTCCCTGCGGATTAGCCCCCTCTTTGGAAATTAACTTCTCTGAGCTTTGCTTTCTTTCTTTATAATTGTAATCAGAGGACTTGCAGGCTTGCCACCTGTAATTCTTCTGTAAGAGGGATCAAGTGTTGTGAGTGAAGGAGTTTTACGTTTCATAGCCCTAAATCCAGGAAAACTCCTGCGATTTTTGGTGTTGAGGTCCTAGAGGGCTCCACCCTAAGGAAATCCAATCTACAGCCCTCTCTCTAAAAAGCAAAGTAACCAATGAGTAATTTAACATATGGAAATTTAGGGTCTGCGCCTACAGACAAGTAATAATGAGTGGTTTTAAGAGATAATAAATAGCGTTTCCTCCTGGTTGATAGGAGGAGTCTCTTTGATGGCTGTTCACAGGATGCTTCCAGATACCTACCTGAGGGCAGAGTCCGTGCCTCCCATTGTCTAGCATTTTAAAGGGCCCGTAGCCACTCCCTAAATGTTTGATGAATAAACACATATATTAAAAAACAGTCCCGTTTTATAGAAGTGGTATCTAAAAACCATCTACACCGACCTTATTTTCTATTCTTCCCTTCCTTAAATACAAACAGCTTCTTCCTATTCTAGGATCTGGGATCTGGCCCTTGGGACCATCAAATGACTCCTCACTGGCAATTAAGCCCCTTTATTAAGGAAAAGCAAGCGAATGAAGGCTTTGTATTTTCTGGTTTGCAAAAGCAGGCTGGCCCCAGGGTGGGGTTGGATTTCAGGGCCTAAAGAGGACCAGAGCTCAGGCCTGAGTGGCAAGGCCTGGAGAGTCCAAACCTGGCTCCTGAGGGGGCAGGATCTGGGGGCACTGCCGGTGTTGTGCAGTGGGCTGGGCCGGGCAGCCTGCCTGAAGCTTCACGAGACCTGCGTGCTTGGGAAGCCCATCCCTGGAAGAACAATGAGGGTGGGCACACGGCAGACCCACTAGCTCTCTGCAGGGAGCAAGGGCAGCCCAGGAAGCTGATGCTGAGAGATTCCCCGCCCGCCTCTGGATTCTGTAAGCCCCTGATGATGGGAGGGAAGGGAAGCGCAGCTGGATTGGAAACGGGACTGACATTGGCCTTCCCACCAGGTCAGGAGAGTGGATACCTGAGAAAGATGGCATTTGAAAGAGGCAGTCAAAGGCTTGTGACACCACTCACATCCCTCCTGTGTGGAGCAGGGGGACAGAGGGACAGGTGAGCACTTCCTACTTAATCAGGGGAGGCTAGTTGGAAGCTGCCTTGTAGTTTGGCAAACTACAGCTTGGAAAGCAATCTCAGAGGTGGTGGAGGAGTCTGGTTGGTGGCGAGTTGGAGCATCGGACACCCCTGGGGGGTATCATGGGCAAGAGGGATGGAGGTAGAGTGCGGGGGCGGGTGTGGGGGGGAGTTAAGCCCTTGGGCAGACACTTGAGTTTCGTCCAGGACTCAGGGAGAGGTTCTGGTTCATGCCTGTGGGAATGCGGAGGCTGTGGAAAACAGGTTAGGGAGCTGGGCACGGCCTCCAGGAAGCACCAGGTTATTTAGGGGTGCGTAATTATAATTTATGCCATAAAACATCCCGTGTGGCTTTATGCCATGGGAGCTGATGCTGCTCTATTCTGGCACTTTCAGTGCCTTTTGGGGGTTCCTCAGAGCCTATGCTCTTCTTGGGAGCCTTCAGGTCATCACTGAAGACCCCCTGGGAAAAGCTTTGCCTAAAGGTACCAGAGGATCTCCTTCAGGCTCAGTTCCGCCATCTTTCAGACCTTTATCCAGGGGGCTCTGGCATCAGTGCTCTTGGGTATTGGACCAGACATTCTAGGGACAGTTAAGCCACGTCCCTCCATTCCAGGCAGTCTCAAGGCCCTGAAGACACCCCAGATACCAGGGCCATTCTCAAAGTTTCTCCCACACTTGGACCAGGTGGTTGTGTGGTGATTTAGAGAACATACCAGGATGCCCCAGAAATCTGCATTTTATTTTTGAACAGGAATTTTTTGAAACACTTGGAGGGCATTCCTTGATGCTGGGAATTCTGTAGCAGACAGACATGTCTTCTCTTGGTTTTCAGAGCAGATTTCCTGACTTCGTGTGTGCTGTGGGGTGTTGGGCAATCAGGCTGGCTTTGTCACAGACCTTTGCAGCTGTGATTTATGTAACATTTCATTTCAAGAAATGGCATTTCTTTAAGATCCTGCTGTAAACTGAGATGAGGTGATAATGTGTTTTTAAAGTACTTAAAGAGAGATAGGGACTCAAGTGAGGTCACACGTGTTAAACGTTACATGGAGCTGTTGACAGTCTGCATTAAGATTCTTGGCATTTAAATAAATTATGAGTGAGGGAAAAGGGTTCCATCACGTCACCTTTTGACATGAAACTCCCAGCAGTCCTCTGTGTAACAGCCATGGCTCAGGCTTAGCAAAGGAGAGCCGTGCATTTGTGAGGCCTCTTGGCAGCTTTTCTCAGATTTATCATCTATACACGGGCAGCAGTTTCGGAGGGAAGGGAGTTTTGTCGTCATTTCACTCTCTTCTCTTTCCATCCTGCTTGGGATTCTACATCAGGGAGGGAGGCAGCCCAGTGTTTCTTTCCATTTTATGTTACAACATTTACCATCACACTGAGCAGTCTCTAGGTAATGGAGGGTTTCCAATCCTCAGCCCATGGCCTGGGATTTTGAGTAACATTGTTGAAAGTCTCATACAACAAAACATGTGAAATAAATTCTTTTGGAATGTGTTATGTTAGGTTTGAGTCATTTAGAAAAAACAAATGTTCTTGTATGATACAGGGACATTTTTCCTTTCCATTCTCTTTCTTTAAAAAGAAAAATGTTTTCCTCTTTTAAATTCTTTTCTTTCTAATTAAATTTTTGGATTTATCAAAGTAGCCTATGAATCTAGTTTTAAAATTCAAATACACCGTCTTTTAAAAAATCTCTCCTTTAAACTTTTTTCCTGTGGAAAAGCAGTGTATTTTAATTGAAGAAAATTTAGAAAAATGCAAAAAGGTCTAAAGGAAAAAATGTAAACCTAACGTGCTTCTGATAACATCCAAATGATAACTTCACCTCTAATTTTAAACATAAGAAACATCAAAGCCATAGGCTACATGGTTATGGTTGAACAATTGATTTGCATGATATATTTGTATTAAATAAAAGGGTTTTAATGACTATATATTTTAAACTTCCTAAATGTCTTCACATATTTAATATTCCATATTATACCATATATGCAAAAAAATCATTCATATATCTGAATACTGGAAATCTGGAACAGGTCAGACCCATATATTTGAGTCAATAGTCTTTTTTCATACTTCTTGTTCGTCACCTTATTCTTTTTTATATAATTGAAAAAATAATAGAATTTGGTAACTAATGTATATTTTAAAAGACTAATTAAAAGATTAGGTAGTACTAAAATTTTCCATCCCTTTTTACCCTGTGTCCTACTCCCCAAAGGCAAATACTTAAAAATGTTTTTAACCATTTATTTCGGTATTTGCTGCCATTTAAAGAATATGCTTGTGCTGCCATTTCTGGATTTATTGATTTTAGACATTGTCTCTTTGTTTGGCTGATGAGGATTTAAATTTCTTACACAGTCTCACTCCCCTGCTCCTCATCACACACAGTTTATCCCTTCTTCCTATTTTATTTTGTATCAAAACATAGTTTTACAAAATCGATAAGCAGTGTTTACATTATTATGTCTTAGCTATAGAGCCAAATAGTGTGCTATAATTATGTCCCACCAGATCTGTCCCCCACTGATCAATTTCATTTTCCGGATAGTCAAAAATATCAGATAATTCATTAATTGATTCCTCCCCGTTGCAGATGTTGCTTCCAAAGTCCTCCGTCCTTCAGCTCCAAATTGGACGACGATGCTCAACATCTGCTGACCCGTGAGCATCTAGGGGCTACACTTTGCATCATCCTGAGTTTTTCTATGCCATTTTCCTGGTTGAATTTCTTTTTCCCGGATCCCTTGTCTTCTTTCTTATTTCAGTTCCTACTTTCTCTAGTACTTATGAGCTGTGAAATTTTGAACAAATCACCTAAATTCTCTGAGCCTAATTTCCTCCTTGAAAAAAATGCAGATAATAATAGCACCCACCTCATAAGAGTGTGGTGAGGAGTAAACCAATTAATATATGTAAAGCACCTCCAATAGTACCTGGTATGTATCAGTTATTATTTTGTTAGGACACCTCCTCCATTAACTTCCTTAAAAAGGGTGCATATGAAGTAAATTTTTGAGAACCTGTCTAAAAATAGTATTTAATCCATTTTCTTTGATGGATCATTTGACTGGATAGAGTTATACGTTGAGAATAACTTTCATTTAGAATCTTGAAGGTATCGTGCCTTCTTCCATCTTCAAGCTATGTTAATTTGCTGGCCAATTCTTTGTACAAGTCATTGTTTTTCTCTTAAAGTTCATTTGGAAAGTCAATTTTCATGATTCTTTATTCATTCAGTATGCAGAGAATTTTCAAGCTGAAATGTATTACTATTATTGTCATGATTATTCATAATTTCTGCTTCTCCACTTTTTTCATTCTCTTTTAGAACTTCTCTTCATTGGATTTTGGACTTCCTGGGCTGATTCTCTGGAACCCTTATCTTTCCCCTCTTATAGTTCATCTTTTTTTTTTTCTTTCTGGTCCATTTTCGTGACTCCATCTTATAACATTTCTGATGAGTTTTATTTTACGTTTTGGTCTTACCAGCAGCTGAGTGCTGCAAAGGCAGCCATTGAGTGGCCTGGGGCATCACTTCTCCCTCAGACTATTTATGACTTGCTTGTTTATGATGGGGATAATCTGTGCAAGATTTGCCTAGTTTCATTTCTTCTGTCACTATTCTTTTGTTTTGCCTTTAAGTTGCAATTACATAAATATTGAAAATCATACGTGTGTTTTACTTAACAGTTTAAGTAATTGTGTAGAATTCATTTCAATGCTAGGACTTGGGAGAATTTCTCCAGAGGGACACCTTAGAAGCAAAATCTGTTAGGATGTGTAGGAGGGTGTAAATACCTGTGGAGAAACTTTTCTGTTCCTTCTAGATTTACCTGATACCTGAGGAGTCAGCCCCAGCTGTCAATGAGCGCTGCTCAGCATCTAGCAACTACACAGGCTTTTTGAAGTGGGTTCCAGAGGAACTTAATATTACCACCCCTTCCATTTACAAAGATGGCTGGCTGGAGAGGGAGGCAGACAGGGGGCAGCAGGATTCTTGGGATAGTAATATTCCTGTTATTGAATCAAACTTGGGTCAGCTCGCCTTGTGCAGTAAAGTCAATCTACTGACACGGGGTTGTGGTGAAGGAAAGTACAGTGTTTATTGCAAGGCCAAGCAAAGAGTATGGGCAGCTAATGTTCAAAAGACCTGAACTCCTCTGAGAGGGCATGCAAAAATTGCTTCTGAGGTTTGAGGGTAACCCTGGGACCTGGCCAGCAGGCCCAGATTGCTCCTGGAATTTGTGGAGTTTTCTCAAGAAGGAAAGCCCTTAAAGAATTGTGCAGTTGGAGGTGCTGGGTAGACCCTCAGCTCACCCACCCAGTACCCATGGGAGCACAGCAGAGCAGGTAGGAGATTCCACTATGGAAGCTAGGGACTGAGGATGTTGGGTGAAGGACACACACCTGGTCAAGTGGAAGATGTACACACTTCAAGGGGTACAGCACCTACCACTTGGGGTTGTACAGAAAGGAGAGGAAAAGCAATGCTACCATGTTCTGGCTATGAGTGCCTGGTAGCCCTTATTGCCTAAATAAGGACATGCTGGGTAGAAGTCTTCACTGTGGGACCAATCATCCAATAGACAGCACCACCTTTCCATGTGCACCTCTGCACAGGGAGCTGGCAATGGCCAGCGGAAAGGGGACTGTACCCTTCAAATGCACACACACACACACACACACACACACACACACACACACACATCAATAAAAGCTGTGCTGGAACAGAGAATAGAGGGTGTGAGAAGGTGGGTCTAGCATTCCCTTCTTTACTTCAAGCATCTTCAAACAAACCTCTGGGCTGAGACTTTGAACTGAGCACTAATAATTATACTTCCTGAGTTTCACTGAGTGTTAACTAGAGAAAGAGATTAAGTTCAAACTGGATTTAATCATTACTGGATGATTGAGTTTAACAGATTGAGCTAGACTTAGTCTTCCTGATGCCCGTCAAAGAACAGTGAAACCAGCTTCACACTTGTTTCACTGAACTGAGACTCTTCAACCAAACTTGTTGCACAGAGAAGAGAATACCTGAAGGAATATTCAGCAAACTGTTGACACTGGTTATTTATGGGGATGTGTGTGGAGAATTACAGGACACATAACGTTTTCTACATTGTGGATTATTATAATGATTTATTTTTATAATTATAGTGCTATTTTTATAATTATAAAATGACAACAAAGTATAATTAAAAAACTCAAAAGTTGATTAGCTTACAACCAACTAGTTTGATGTGTCAGCTGTACTTGCTGTGGGAGCCATTGCCCATGAAGAAGACTGGGAAAGTCCAGCGGGGCGGGACGTGAAGACCAGTGCAAACCCATTACCTTCATGAGCAAATTGATTGGAGGCGCTGGTTGATGATGGGTGAGCAGCTTCATATTCACACAGTACACATGAGCAGGACAAACATTTAATGCATCACCCAAACCAGGGCATTTTGAGAGTGAGTGGGAACACTGATACTAATTCTGCTGGGACCTCAGTGTAAACCAGGACTGCCCCTGGCAAACAGGGGCATATGGTCACCCTGAGCATAGGGTATATGCCACGTGGCTGTGTTCTAGGAGTGGAGGTCACCTCAGGGCTGTACCCCTGTGCCCTAGAGAGGGTCTGGGCACCCTAAAGTGGTCCATGTAGTGAATCTTGGTGATTAAAAAGCCCTAGACTAGCAATGTCTGATAGAAATGTAATGTGACAGCCACATATGCAATTACAATTTTTTCTAGTAGACCCATTAAAAAAGTAAAAAAGAAACTGGTGAAATTAATCTTAATAATATATTGTATTTCATCCAACATATCCATGTGGTAGGCAGAGTAATGGCCTCCAAAGATGTCCACATTCTAATTTTGCCACCTGTGGTATGTTACCCTATAGGACACAAGGGATTTAGCAGATGTGATTAAGTTAAGGGCCTTGAGATGGGGAGATAAATCTGGATTATTCTGGATTATCTGGGCCTGTTCTAATCACATGGATTGTTAAAAGCTGAAATTCTTTTCTGGCTGCGGTCAGAGAAGAACGGTTAGACAGATGGAATAGTGCAAGCTTTGAAGATGGAGGAAGGGGGCCATGAGTCAAGGACTGTGGGTAGCCTCCAGAAACTGGAAAAAGTAAGAAAACAGATTCTCTCCTACAGCCTACAGAGGAACACACCTGCATTTTATTTTATTTATTTATTTATTTTTGCGGTACGCGGGCCTCTCACTGTTGTGGCCTCTCCCGTTGCAGAGCACAGGCTCCGGACACGCAGGCTCAGCGGCCATGGCTCACGGGCCAGGCCGCTCCACGGCATGTAGGATCCTCCCGGACTGGGGCACGAACCCGCGTCCCCTGCAATGGCAGACAGACTCTCAACCACTGCGCCACCAGGGAAGCCCAGGAATACACCTGCATTTTAGTTCAGTGAGACCCATTTTGGATTTCTGACCTCCATGACTGTAATCTAAAAAATCGGTGTTAAACCACGAAATTTGGTAGTGATTTATTACACTAGCAATAAGAATCTAGTACAATCCAACATATTTTCATTTCAAAATTCGATCATATAGAAAGTAACAAGATATTTTGCATTCTTTATTTCATGCTAAGTCTTCAAAGTCTCACGTGTATTTTACACTTTAAAGCACAGCTCAGATCTCAATTCAGGCTCTCCTCATTTCAAGTGCTAATGGCCACACATGACTAGCGGCTACCATACCGAAAAGCACAGTTCTAGACCCTTACCTCCAGGATTCTGAAATCTAAGCATCCTTCTAGGGTAGCCCCATTTCTAGCCGGTGGCAGTTTACGTGTGTGTGTGTGTGTGTGTGTGTGTGTGTGTGTGTGTGTGTGTGTG